CTCCGCCGTCGCTGCACCTGCCGTCCCAGCCGCACACACCGCCGACGACAAGTGAGACCCACCGGCGACCTCCTGCCGTACGCAGAAGCCCAGCGGCACGGAAGCTCCCAGTCCTGGCGCCGCCGCTGCCACCCCTTCCTCAAGCAGGCGGAAGCCCGAGATAGCCCCATGTCCCAGGAGGTCTGGATCGCTGGCGGTGGTGGCGGCGGCGCCGGTTTCAGCAACCGCAATAACGCCATCGTTGCACAGTGTACGGCGTACGGTCGCCATGACGGCGTCGTCGTCAGTGTACAGCAGGGGTGTACGGACCTGGCGAACGGGGCGATGACGACCAATGGGTGGTTGAGTCTGTGGAGTAGCTGGTGTCGCTATCGGTGCCGCCGCCGCAACCGCCGCAACCGTTCTCACGGGTGCTGCCGACAGCCTCTTGCCGCCGTCGCCGCCGCCACCGCCACCGCCACTGACGCCGCTGGAGCTCCCAACGCATCTGCGCTTCGCGCCGCTAGCACTGCAGCTGCTGCTGCTGGTAATGGTCGCCGTGTCAACGTCACAAACAGCTGCTGCGCCAGCGGTGTTGGGGGCATTGCATCCGCCGCCACGGCCTGATGCAGGATTCGTATGATGGAACATTGTTCCCGCCGCCGACTGGCCGATCACCTCCCACCTCATCTCTTCGCTCCCTTCTTGCGGCGGCTGCTGCTGCAGACTATCTGGCACAGTTCCTATATCTCCCGCACTTTCCCACCTCGCCCTCCCTCCTTTCCCTCCACACCCAATAACAGCAACACTCTCCCGGGTTCTACCGGGGCCGTCCAACCACGTCCCACACTGCCCACCAGGCGCGCCATCTCCCACTGACCCACGGGTCGCATCGCTGACGGAGCAGCGACCGTCTCCTGGCGCGCCATCTGGTTCAGCCGCTGCGCCGCCGTCTCCTACCGCCGCTGCCATCACCACTGGCGAATCCAGTCCTGGATCCGCCATCACAGAATCCCCCAATGTATCCGCCGCTGCTGCTGTTGCAGCTGCTGCTGAAACTGCCGCCTCTGCTTTCTCGCCGTGTAGCGCTTCCTCCGTCATCGCCGCCGCAGCAGCCGGCGCCACCGTCATCTCCTCCTCCACCTCCTTGACGAGGACGGGACCCTCTGTAGCAGACGAGGGTGCATTGCGAGTGCGCTTCCGTCCCCGGGGGCTGCGCTCTGTTACCTCGCCACCACCTTCATCGGCACAGGCACCCTCGCCAACACCACTACAGCCGAAACGGGCACGGCCAATAGGTGGGGACAACTGCCGTCGTGGCAGTGCGGCCTGCCCTCCGCCAAAACACATGTCATCGCCGCCGTTGCCGCTGCCGTCGCCGTCATCAACATTACCAAGTCTCCCTTTCCGCTTCCTCAACGGAGCCGCTGCTGACGGCGACGACGATCTGTTCAACGAAAGCGACACCGCAACGCCTTCACCTTCCACCACCGCCGCCGCCGCTGCTGCTGGCGTCGCCGCCACCGTCTCACTGAACCCCATCTGCAGCGCTTCAACACCACCGCCATTATGTACCGGCTCACAATCTTGGCCCCCCACAACCAGGGGCGTCTGGAACTCGTCAACCACCCCTGGAGCACCTGCGACCAGGGATCGTCCGCACACGTAGACGTCCATGTGGACAGGCGCCCCGGGTACTAGCTTTAGCGGGGTTGGCGCTGACAAACCTTCCGGAGCTGAGGCCACTTCAGGAGGGCCCACAGGTATGGGAGCAGAGACGTCGGCGTCGGCGTTAGCTTCGGCGTCGCCGTCGCCGCCGCCGTCGACTTCAGCGTCATGGACATCGTCAGCGGCTTCATCATCGGCGTCGGAGGCGTCGGGAGGTCCGGGTCGGCGACTCCACGAGCTCACTGATGACCTAGCCTTTACTTCCACCGCTGGGTGAGGAGGCGTAGAGTCCATATCGCCGCGCTCCGATGCCATCGTGGCTATGGCCGCGTACTCGGGTGCAGGTGCCAGCTCCGGAGGCGTCGGCGCCGTACTTGCTGTTGGAGTTGTGCGACGCGCCGCCGAGTGAGTCCTCGGGAAGCATGGAAGCAGCGCCGCTGTCTCCGCAGCTCCGGCCGCTGACGCCGCAGTCGTACGCTTCACACCATCTATACCTGCTGCTGCCTCAGCCACAGCATTGAGTGAGGCTGCAGCTTTTGGCGCAGCACCGCTTGCGATGACGACTGTCGCCACCTTCGGCACCATGGGCTCGATTGGCGAGGACGGTGTCAGGAGAGACGGCGGCACCGGCCGCATTTGCGACGGCGTCGGTGTCGGCAGCAACGGACGCGGTGGCGTCGACGACGACAGCCAAGCACTCGACACAACAGACTTATACACCACACGAGTCACCGAGGAAGCCCCAGCCGCCGACGCCGACGCCGACGCCGACGCCGCAGCGGCGGCAGCTGTGGCATTGGCAGCGATCTTGTCAGCGACCAACATACCGTCCGCAGAGACATACATCGGTGCATCGGACACTGCAGCAGCAGACACGTCTTGGCTGACGTGGCTGACAGCTGCCGTACCATTCCAGCTGGCCGTACTTTGGTCTTGGAGCCCGTGTAGCAGCCTCTCAAACTCCAATCTCCGGAGTTGTTGCTGCTGCCGGGCTAATGCCTCCACCTCCACCTCCGCCGCCGCCTCCGTCACAGGCGCCGGCGGCGCTAATGACGGCGTCCTTTCCTTCCTCCGTCTCGTCGCTACCTCCGCCCCCTTGACCTCCACGACCGCCGCGCCTCTCCGATACTCCTCGTCCTCCTCCGTAGACGCAGCCTCGTACGGCGGATCTGCCGCTGCCGCCGCAGCTACTGTGTCGGCATCTCCGGGAAACCTAACTCCCCCGGCTGATGCCGCCTCGTCCGCCTGGCTCTTCATCCCCATCACCCTCGCGCGCTTCCGGACTCCGAACACCTGACCGGTCGAACCCGGGGCCGAGGCCTGGGCCGGCACAGCCGCCGCGGCTGGCTGCTCCACCAGGTCGGAGGTCTGTGCCACTGGAGCGCTCAACAGGAGTGGTGGAGCTGGCGGCGGCGGCTGTAGCAGCCGCCCTTGCGATGCCGCTGGTGGCGGCGGCTGTAGCAGCCGCCCTTGCGATGCCGCTGGTGGCGGCGGCGGGCTAGGACTCGAAGGGTGCATCACTTCCGATGGCGGCTGCTGAGACAGCGGTGCTGGCGGTGGTGGTGGTGTTGGGGGGGGCTGTAGAACGATACCCGGCTCAGCTGGGTTTAGCTGCAATGGCCAGGTTGGGTTTCGGAGGGTGGTGGCGCGAAGGGTGTGTGAGAGGAGGGAGAGCAGGGAGATGAGAGCGGAGTCCAGACTGTGTATGTGCTAAGGGGCTGCGACCCGCCAGAGAAATAGAGCCATCACATGCTAGCCAGTACGTCTGGCGAGGATGTTGGAACGTATGTGGGCTCACAGAAACTCAGTTACCCCCTTTGGACGCTAGTCTGGGCTGATGTGCGGTGTTTCCTGTTCTCCGTGGCTTTTAGGCGTATAGGTATTGCCCTTGGGCCTTCGGATCGTATGGGTAGTTTTACAGGTATGGGGTCACGCACCCCCAACCATGTAACACACACACATGCTAGCGGGTAACGGGTAGAGCGGGTAGGTGAAGCACGGGCCGTCGCCCCCCCCCCCAGTTCCCTCCGGTGTTGCGGCCTTGTGCAGCCGGGGTATAGCCGGCGGTGTGGCCCCCGGGGGGAAGTCGGTACTCCCCCAACAATGACATAACCATTCACAGCGCGCACGCAGACATACATGCATACACACATATACATACATACATGCATACTCATACCTTGAGTCGCTGCCCTCCCTGGAGCGCGTAGTCGCACTGCTGCGCCAGTGGACAGCAACCGCAGTTGGGGGCTCGCTTCTGACAAAATACCTGTGTGTGTTTGTATGTATGTATGTATGTGAGCAGGGAAGCAGTAAATCACGGATCAAATTAGCATCAACTGGAATGTTGTTGTGTACGGGCAGTCCGTCATCCATTTTGAAAGCAGTCCTGCCGTGGTAGCTGCATGCGATGCAACAGATGTGGAGGATGTGTCATGCACCCCGCGTACAGGTACAGCTAATTGTGGGGAGATAGTTGCGGGTTGGAGGAGGGTAGGTAGGGTGGCGCCGTTACACGAGGCATCATTCCAAGAGCCCCGCTCAAACCCGCATACCGCATACCGCCAAGCGCGTCAGAATAACATGGCGGATCGCGCGCTATGTCAGCCACATGTGAATGACACGTTTTGTACGGTAGATTGTACAGCGCTCGGAGGTACACGGCTCATAGCCGTACCTTGCCAAGTGTTATGGATTGGTAATGTAGTTCGTACAGGGTCTCCAGGTCAAAGTGCATCAGACGGCTTCGCAGGTACTTGTGAACCTAAAGAGGGGGAAAAGGGGGAAGGGGGGGAGGGAGGCCAAACACAGGTCAGGGGGTAGGTAGCGCGGCCAAGGAGTGCTTTCAAAAACAGGCGTCCGGATTACAGCCGCAGCTGCACCCCTACTTCCGACCTCAATCTGAATTCTTAAACTTATCCCTCCTGGCCCACATCCCTCCACACCCTCACCCCGACTCGTACGACACCTCTCTCACCTCGGGCTCCTGGGGGTACGAATCCAACTGCTCCAGAGTAGCTTCCGCCTGAGGTGCCAGGTACGGCAGGTGCATGTACGGCAGGGGATGTAACAGCGTGAACATGCCGGCCAATGGAGTTGCTTCTGGCGGTCCTGGACGATTCTGAAGTGTTCTACAATACCCCCAGTAATACCGGAGGGGTACACGGTCTCCAGCAATACCGTGCTGCTCTGTTACGGACCGCTTCGGCGAATGGACGAATGGCCCCTTTCCCCGCGCAGGGCGCACAGGAACTCCAGATGTGCATGAGTAGAGCTGCATTCCGTGTGATGTGTGCACCGTACTATCCCGTTTGTACGACTTTCTACAACATTTGCCGTACGTACCTCGATTGGGATCCACCCCAGTCGAGCAAATACACGTGCGACATTGATGTCCACCGGGAACTCCTGTCGTGAGAGGAAACACAAAATCGAAACAGCGAGTTTTCTATCTCACGTAACTTCGGAAAACGTTTGCCTGCGAAACACCAACAAGTGTGTGTCACCACCGTTACGCAAAGCGCTGGATCCTCCACCATCTAAACGGTCTCACTGACTTTTATGGTGGAGGGAGTAGTGATAATAACAAAAGTAATATTGGTAAAAGGAAGGCAGGCAAAGTGTGGCGCCGGGGCTAGAAATGCGTTTGGCTTCCTCTGCTAAGGCTGTGTGTCATGGAACGGGACGCAACCCTGCCATTCCCCCCCTCACACAATCCCCCCCTCTCTAACCATGCTAACGCCCCACCAGCCGCCCCCATCTGCACTTCGCTTCACTCCGCCAGGGCCCCCACCTTTCCATGCAGTGCCAGCAACACGATGCATGCGACGCTCTTACGACCCAGCCCCTCAACGGCCATCAAATAGCTGTGTACGGAGGGGTGCGATGAAGAT